GTGCATTGTAGACGGGCCTTTATCTGGCTTACGGCTATCACTTTAGTGTAATTGAACTAACCTATATTCGTATATAGAAAAATTTAAAGAATTTTCTATATTCTTTATAGAAAGATTTTCTAACCTGAATAATCGTGAACTTTACGCTTAATATCTCGGTTCGCGGGGCAGAGCGGCACTTTTACCTGCCAGATTCTTTCGTTTCATGCAAAAACGCGTCGAATGAGTATAATTTTATCGATTTTTGAGGTGAACACCGTAGATTGCACCTTTACCAAAATTTGTAATTATATTGAAGATGAAAATGTATTTGGCATATTATACAACGATATTGATATCTTTTTTAATGTCATGCCACATGTGGGAGGTACGCGTCTTCTGCATTTCATTCTTCGATTTACCCTTTTAATTAAAGTCTAATTTCGTTATCTTTTATTACGTTATCCTTTTATTTATTATTATAGATAGCGGATAACTTTGTGAAAACTGAACATTCCAATAATTGGGCTGTTTTGGTCGATACATCGCGTTTCTGGTTCAACTATCGACATGTTGCTAATGTTTTATCTATTTACCGAAGTGTCAAACGTTTAGGAATACCAGATTCGCAAATCATTCTGATGATAGCCGACGATATGGCATGCAATCCTAGGAATCCTAGACCAGCGACTGTTTTTAACAACATTAAACAGCATATTAACGTTTATGGTGATGATGTAGAAGTCGACTATAGAGGTTATGAAGTAACTGTAGAAAATTTTGTAAGGCTGCTGACTGGACGCTTAGCTCAGGGAACCCCAAGATCAAAAAAGCTATTAACAGACGAAGGTTCAAATATTTTAATTTATTTAACTGGTCATGGTGGTAATGGATTTTTAAAGTTTCAAGACTCTGAAGAAATCACCAGTCAAGAGTTAGGTGATGCATTAGAACAAATGTGGCAAAAACGGAGATACCACGAAATTTTATTTGTAGTTGACACTTGTCAAGCAAGTTCCATGTACGAGAAATTTTATTCTCCAAACATATTAGCAGTTGCTTCTAGTTTAGTGGGAGAAGATTCACTTTCTGTAAGTAAAAAGCATTTTTAAGTGTACTACAGCTATCAATCTATTCTAATATATCATATTTGTAGCATCATGTAGATCCAGCCATTGGTGTTTACATTATAGATCGATACACTTATTATGCATTAAATTTTTTGGAAAAAGTAGAACCATCTAGCACTAAAACATTAGGTGAATTTGTAAGTATCTTATTGTAATGATAAATGTAAGTTCTTCTCTTATCATATTGATTAATCGAGATTAATATTTTCTAGTTGAAAGTATGTCCGAGAGATTATTGTCTATCAACAGTGGGTGTAAGAAGAGATTTGTTTAAAAGGGATCCAGATAAAGTACCGGTAACAGATTTTTTTGGTTCTCTTAGGCCTGTAGAACTTACGACAAACATAATGAATATTTTACCTCTTAAATCTAATTGTACAAAAAGTCAGGGATTTGAAAAAAAATATAATTATGTTGCACAGTTTCCAGAATTAATATCTCAGTATACGTAAGTAAAAGCAATAAATGGGATATTTCTTATAATACATTGTTTATGTAACTTTAATTTATTGAAAAGATTATATGGAAGATTATATGATAAATTAAGACAAAATGACAGCTGCATATGTTGCTAACATAAGACTGTTTAAATTAATTAAAAGCGTTATATAAATCAATATGGCAATTTTATGCTGGATGCCTACCGACCCAGACATACGTTATGTATAAGTAGCTATGTTATGTTCTACGCATTTTGTGCTATAACATTTGGATGACGCAATTCATCATAAATTTGAGTGATCGTCTAACTATATTATACATCACACAATTAAATTATTGTATGTATAATAATTAAAAAATTAATGATTTTGGTCATAGTAAAAATTGTTAAAAATGTCATGTTATAATTCAATTTAATGAGCTATAGTTAATATAGTTGTGCTGTACATTTTAACATGCATTAATCGAGCTTGGCTCATTACTTTCGTCAGCTGATTCATACAGAATATCGCACAAACTCAAATATTTATTTTCTGAATAATTACTAAGCAATTTATCCAAGTTTTGTTTTAATTCGGTAAAAGTAGGTCTACTTTGTGGTCTTATATTCCAACATGAATACATTATGCTGTACCTGAAAAAAAATTTTTTTAAGAGAGTGTAAGTTTAAAACTGGAAATTTATGGAAAATTAGGGAAATTAGCAGAATATAACTTGGCGCCAGTCGTTTATATTCATGAAAATTAGAAATCTGTTAAAGGAATGCCACGTTAGAATATACATACAATTCTCTACTACAATTTGGTGGTCTCTCCATTCGATATCCAGATTTGAGGAATTGTAAAATTTTATTTGTGGGAGTATCAGGATAAGGTGTGACACCTAAAGTAACAATTTCCCACAATAAAATACCAAAAGCCCATCTATAATCCAAAATTTCATTGTCAACAATCAAATAGATGGCGTAATGTACTTATATAATTTAAAATATAATGCATACACGTCACTGTAAGTAGTATATATTTGATGCGTTAAAGCCTCGATTGCCATCCATTTTAAAGGCAATTTACCATTTCCTTTCTTTCGATAAACATTCTCTTGATAAATATCCCGGCTGAGACCAAAATCCGAAATTTTCACCACTCTATCTGGTCGCACTAATACATTACGAGCAGCCAAATCACGATGTACTATCCGATTAGAAGATAAAAATTCCTAAACATAATATCCATCGTATTCTGATTTATATAATGAAACAATAGAATTAAGAAAGTGGTCGTATTATTTTGAAATACAAACTCAATATAGCAATTATTAATATATTGACATGACTTACCATTCCTGTAGCTACTTGTCTAGCAAAATTCAATAAATCGGCAGAAGTAATATTTTCTATATATTTAGTCATATCTGGAAAAACGTTAACGGAATAATTATGTACATATGTCTGTATTATATATGTACATATATTCGATTGTACATCTGTGTGATTTACCTCGTTGAATATCATATAAACGATTAGCGATCGTATGCGTATTCTGATAGTTGCAGACACATTTTTCTGCATAATAGAAAAATACTTTGTTTGAACATTTTAAGTTATTATCACATAGTGCATATAACAATATGTAAACATACATGTGTAACACACAGTGGGTGTATTCTATTTAACGGTCGCAACACTTGCGTGTATCATTTCATCCTTGTTTAACATTTGATGAGAACAAGGATAGAATGATATTCTATATCTTATATATTTCATTAAAAAAAAAACAAAAGGCTAATGAGAGTACAATCGCGGTAATTATTGCGATGATTGAATTTATTACATGTTACTATAATTTAGACGTTTCGGCCTTCATTCGAGCCATCCTCAGTGTATCTGATCAAACAATAAATGTTGACATCTACGGCTAAACGAGAGAGTGATCACTCATTCCATCTACACCAATTCGTGACACAAGATTGGCTAAACTAGTGGCAACAATCGAAGATGTATTCTATGTATAAAGAAAAACAACCGTTACCACAATGTACGAATAAAGATTACAAATAAAACAAGAAAAGCCACTCACCCGTACAGCCATGAACAATTACTTAAAATTTAAAAAAATCCGCAGCTTGTCCATATTAAAAATTTAACGTGGTATATCATGCAAACATTACAACGATTAACAATCGAATGAGTCAAACAGAAATAAACGTTCGAAAATAATAGCCGTTACAGACACGAACGTCGACCTTTGCGAAATTACATATTAAAAGCATAAACAATAAGTCAAGAAACTCTACTTACAAAAATCTAACAAAACATGAACTATATGATGAAGACAGATGAACACTTTGATTAACTAAATCAATGTAAATTATAAAGAATCGAAATATACGCTTGGTGTAAAAATTCGGTATCGGACTGTAAATTTAAGCTATTTTTCTGCAACTGTATATACACCATTTCAGCAATACGTCGTTTGTATAAAAACCGTTTATAATCTCAATGTTATCCCAATCGAAGTCATGGTTACAGTTCAATCTATGCTCTGTGATAACAGAATGATTGTTGCTATTTTTTCGGATATCATTTCGGTGTTCCATGGTTCTCGTTTTAACCGTCCGCTTTGTCTGGCCGACGTATGAATAATCACAATCATTGCAATTAATCCTATAATCAACATTCTTTTTTTACATAATAGGTAAAGGATCCTTATGTGTTTTTATGAAACAGTTGAGCTTATTAAGGCTAAAAAAGGCAAGATTCACATTCAAGTCCTTTGTGATGTCTCAGAAATTTTCGCCACGTAAGGGAACAAGAACCATGTCTTCCTTATGTCATCTATAGAAGTTTCCCTCTCACTATTTTGCTTCAATGTTTTTTTATGCACTAGAGATTTAAGACGATCATTCATTACATTAAAAATAAAATCCACTGGATAGTCATTATTTAAAAGTATCTCTATAACAAATATCAAGTTCTTTTTGTGATATTTTGGAACCGATAATAGAAAAGCCCTATCAACCATTCCCATGACAGTACCTCTCTTCTGTGAAAGAGGATATTCAGAGAGGAAGTTCAAGTACCTCCCGGAAAATGTCGGTTTGTGATACCAATCAAATTCTAGAAATTTATTATTCTTAGGGGGTAGTGAATTGAATTTTTTAGACATCACTATCATTAGCCCTTTGTTTTTTTTTATGACATTTTCGAGAGTTATTGTTATCAATTTATATCTTATATATTTCTTTTTATTAATTATTTTTTATTTTTTTAATTTATTTTTTATGTTATTTATATATTTAAATATATATATATTTTTTTTTTATTAAATATATTATTATAAATATATTATTTATTAATGTATATTTATTTATATTATACCTATACTACACATTTTATACATATTTGGATTTGCACGTATTTAAACGTGTAATATAGATCAAAACCTTATTTTTATCATATTAGTACTGGATATAGCATACAAATTTGAAATCAAGTTACATCCCTTATCAGGCCCGAATTAGGGTCGAACGTCAAATCCGGCATGCCTAACTCGACCCTAATTTCTACCTAACTTATTTTTTTGTTTTTGTTTGGCATATAGTAAAGGCCCAAATAATTACCGGATCTGGTATACCGGATTCAGTATACCAGATCCGATAAATTATTTGGGCCTTTTCCGTGTATCGGACAAAAATACAAATTTTTATTTTTGTTCGGCATATAAAAAAGGCCCACACAATTATCGGATCCGGTATACCGAATTCGGTATACCCTACCAAGACCTGTACTTGGGCCTGATCCGGCACAAGCTAAATCCGGCACACCTGAACAAATTTCTACTCGCAAGCGTTGCAAACAATAAGTGGAACGCACTCATTGTAGATCAAATAGCACACGCACGCGCGCGCGCACACACCACACACACACACACACACGCACACACACACATCACGAGTAAACATATATTTATACATATTACCTTGATCTGTGTTCTTGTTGGTAAAAGACGCCATATTAGATTCTAAGTGAGTCCTACATTCGAATACGGCGTTCACTATATTCTGCCAAATCTAAAAACAAAATTTAATGAAATAGTTGAAACAATTAAAGTATGTCAATACTATCAAATATTAAATATTAAAATTCATTTCAATAACGCTCATATATTATAAAAATAATTGATTAAGTCCAACCTCGGTCTAACAAATATAAATGCAATTTTTAGATGTGCATAAATGCAATTTTATTATTCCATATAAGAACAGTACGTTTCAACTTGACTCAGTCCTTATCAGCTGTATATATATATACAGGGTGGGCCATTTTAATCGATCCACCCAAATATCTCGAAAACTAAACCCAGCAGACAAAAATGTTTCAGACAAAAGTTGTTTGACTCGAAGGGGGACATAAGATGGTGCTATCGATTTAACTTTGGATAGTCCTCTGAAGGTCACGTGAAGGTCATCTTTAATTTTTTAAATGAAACCCCTTATTTCTCATTGCACATTCCTATAGCTCATCTCGAGAGCTTTCCAAAACACTATAATTAAGTTCATTTTCATTAAGTACTTTTCAACTCTTATTTTTATTTCTACGTAGAAATGTAATATTTAGTGCAAAAATGAAAATAAGAGGAACAACCTCCAATGGCCTTGATCTTGACAAATATTATCCAGATCATGATCCTGAACAGCATTCAAGAGATTTTAGCCGTCGATCGGACTCTTGGGTAATGCTTAAATGCTGGCGGTGCTGTAACTTGCAAGCCTTATAACTTGAAAAGTACTTAATGAAAATGAACTTAATTATAGT